GAGGGGAGGAACATCAAAGTGAAAACAGAACAGAACAGAATAGTGTTCCAAAGACGAAGGTAGATAAGGTGGAAAAAGGTAAGGTGAGTACTGCGGAAGTAGTCGAATATGACATACAGTGGGGTCATGGCAGTTTGATGCCAAAAATCAACTGCCAGGTAATAGACTTTTTTTGCCGTATGAGTCACGTTGCCCAGGGTGCACCACGTGGAGGTAAGTCTATCACATACCCCAAGGCACAAGTGGTGATTGTGACTGCAACCTCAAGGCCTCTCGATACTCTGTAAACCAGCATGGGGAGCAGGACTATTACGTACCCAAGGCCCTCTTCAGGGCCATCTCATTGATTACTGGACGGAATTCTCATCATCGTGCCAGTTTCTTTATGTACATCTTGTACATAGTGTATATAGACATCGCTAAAGATAAAAAGTAGCCAATTTTTTTTCGGTGCCACTATAATGAGAATATGGATTTCGAAGTGTTTTTTTTTTCTAGAATATAAGTAGTCGAGCTCATTAATGTGTTTGTGTAACTTTCAGTCCCGTCACGTAAAGTAGGCGTGATCTTATCTATGGTATCACTGAGGTATTTTTAGTAGTGTATCATACCTCGATAATACCCACTTAATGATGGACCTTTGAAATACTACTTACTGGCAAAAATTTTCATTGTATCGTTTGGATGTTGTAACTGATGTGTAAGGGTTGACTGAACAAAGTGGCACGGGCTATAAAAGAGAATGTATGTTTTGTGATGTGTGCACCGGCGTTGTAGTGGTCATTATATTCATCTGCTCAGCCCGAGCGTACAGGTTCGACATTTATCAGTACTCACCCATAATCAATCATTAATGAGTTCGTTTTCAGAGATGTCTGTTAATGTACTTTTGAAATGATACCTGTCGTGTGGATATTTGACCAAGGGTACTATCTGAGCCGCAATTGAAGTCTCCTGAATTAACAAGATCTTGTTATTTTGTCTTGAATCTAAAACTCAGATTGTGTTCTAGTAAGTCCTCATTCGCTTATGTGACACAGGCCATTTGCAGCTGGGCAAGAAGTGACTAGATGCTTTAGTATTTCGGTCTATTCCGTGTACACCTATAGAACTACCTGTCTTTTCTCTTTCTCGTATGTGGGAGAGCAAGTAAGTCCGGTCACTCATATTCAGTTATAAAGTATATTCGGCCCACAGCTACTGGTGTGCTGCGGTTGTTCATATCTCATTGGGAGAAGGAGAGAGGACAGTGACTATCTGACAAGGGGGATAACAGGTTAGATATTTGTAGATGGATCGATTAAAATCATTGAATTGAGTTTTGCCTGATCACTCGACTTCGTGTCTGATGTGGCTGTTTGCCAGACAGCTAACTAGTCGATGGCATTGTTACCTCCTCGTGGTGCACCCTGGGCAACGTATACTCATACGGCAAAAAGTCTATTAACCGGCAGTTGACTTCTGACTTCAAACTACCGTGACCCCACTCTATGTCATGTTCGACTACTTCCACAGTACTCACCTCACCTTTTTCCACCTTTGTGTCTGCCCATTTTACATCTTTGAAACACTCTTCTGTCTTTTTCACCTTGATGTTCCTTCCTCTCTGTGAGACCTGAAGTCAACCAAAGGGCTAATGATAACTATTATTAAAATGCCTGCCATTTGATATAAATAAATAAATGTTGGGATTTGCATGTGGGAGTGACACAATAGTGACATTGACTTATGACTGATTCCTCTTCTCTCTCTCTTTTACTCTCAGATAAACCCAACAATTGCAGCAGCCTTGATGTCTGGCGGGGCCAACTTAGCCAACTTGCCTCAGCACGAGCAGGAGAAGGTGAATCTGCTGCGACAGGCGCTCTCTCTTCCTGAGGAGTCACTGGCAATGCTACCTGAAGATGAACAGCGCGGCATTCGCATTTTGAAGGAGAGTCTGCGTCGCAGGGCAAACTTCTAGAAGAGGCTAATTGAGGTTTTTGTAATTGATGATGATGATGAATATGGATTTTATTAATGTCATTGGGGCTTGTGGGCTAAACTTGTGTTGAAATAAAGTTTTTTTTTCGAATGTGTAATGACGAATTTTCAGTTAATTTGGTTTTGAGTTGGACGGCTCTTAATTTATTTAATTTAATTTAGTTTTTTTATCCCTTAACCCAATAATATTTGCTCCTAACTTAGAGGCAAATTAGTAAGGTTGCGTATAGTTTCCATTATAATGATTCGAAGTCTTCAATGACAACCTCTCTATCCTGATTGTAACCAATTCTTCTCTGAACGCTGATTGGGGATCAACATTGTAGGCAGTTCTGAAGGAAATCACATTTCGTCGCGATTTTTCAAGAGTCAACACTTAGCTGGTCATTTTTCGTCAAAAATTGCACCTCCAACGTGAAGTCGTAGATGTTCGAAAATGGAGACAATTGGTGCTGATAAGTATAAGCTTAGAGTCAAGGAGTGGCACTAATCCTGGAGTGTGAAAAGAAATTAAATGTGCCTGAACACATTTCGACTTTGAATATTTTGAGAGGACATGAACTCCCTTTCATCCGAATTTTATGTATAGTTGTGACTCATAAAGGTTGATATGGCAGAATCTCACTCAGATGCTTGTTACATTTCATAAAATGAAGACAATTTCCTACTACTAATTGGTAAATAAGTAGGCTAGTTGAACTCTAGGTATTAATAACCCAAGAAACGGCAGCCGAATTATTAACTTGTCAAATACGTCGATATTTTGAAATATTTTCAACGATTCAGGGCAACATTGGACTAGCTTTTCCTATTAATTGGGATGTTTAGTTGCCAACTTCAAACCTGACTCGAATAAAGATCCAAATACCCGTACCAACTATTCGACTATAAGTGTATGAGATAGTTTGCATACGCGATAACATTATACTTCGATACATATATATATATATATATATATATATATATAGA